AATGGAACAGAGTAGAGAGCCTGGATATGGATCCTCAACTCTATGGTCAAATAATCTTCAATAAAGCCAGAAAAAATATCCAATGGAAAAAAGACACTCTCTTCAATAAATGGTGCTGGGAAAATTGGAAAACATACAGAAGAATAAAACTCGACCATTCTCTTGCGCCATACACAAAGATAAACTCAAAATGGATGAAAGACCACAATGTGAAACAGGAATCCATCAAAAACCTAGAGGAGAACGTAGACAGTAACCTCTTCGACATCAGCCACAGCAACTTCTTTCAAGACAGGTCTCCAAAGGCAAAGGAAACAAAAGTGAAAATGAACTTTTGGGACTTCATCAAAATAAAAAGCTTCTGCACAGCAAAGGAAACAGTCAACGAAACAAAGAGGCAGCCCACAGAATGGAAGAAGATATTTGCAAATGACACTACAGATTAAAGGGCTGATATCCAAGATCTGTAAAGAACTTCTCAAACTCAACACTCAAAAAACAAATAATCAAGTCAAAATGGGCAGAAGACATGAACAGACACTTTTCCAATGAAGACCTACAAATGGCTAACAGACACATGAAAAAATGTTCATCATCATTAGGCATCAGGGAAATTCAAATCAACCACACTGAGATACCACTTACACCAGTTAGAATGACAAAAATTAACAAGGCAATAAACAAATGTTGGAGAGGATGTGGAGAGAGAGGAACCCTCTTATACTGTTGGTGGGAATGCAAGTTGGTGCAGCTACTTTGGAGGTTCCTCAAAAAATTAAAATTAAAGCTACCCTATGACCTGGCAATTGCACTACTGGGTATTTACCCCAAAGATACAGATGTAGTGAAAAGAAGGGCCATATGCACCCCAATGTTCATAGCAGCAATGGCCACAATAGCCAAACTGTGGAAAGAGCAGAGATGCCCTTCAACAGACAAATGGATAAAGATATGGTCCATATATGCAATGGGATATTCCTCAGCCATCAGAAAGGATGGCTTTTACCCAACTTTTGCAACATCATGGATGGGACTGGAGGAGATTATGCTGAGGCAGAGAAAGTCAATTATGTGGTTTCACTTACTTGTGGAACATAAAGAGTAGCATGGAGGACATTAGGAGAAGGAAGGGAAAAATGAAGACGGGGGATATCGGAGGGGAAGATGAACCATGAGAGACTGTGGACTCTGAGAAACAAACTGAGGGTTTTAGAGGGGAGGAGTGTGGGAGATGGGTGAGGCCAGTGGTGGGTATTAAGGAGGGTACGTACTACATGGAGCACTGGGTGTTATCTGTAAACAGTGAATCTTGGAACACTACATCAAAAACGAATGGCATACTATATGGTGACTAACATAACATAATAATAAAAAAAAAGAAAAGAAAATTTCATTACCCTCTCTGAATAATTGTTAGAATTATCAAATAAGCAGCAATTCATCAAAGGCATACTAGACTTGAATAGCACTACCAACCAAGTAGCCTAATTGACATTTATCCGGCACCCCACCTAGCAACAGCAGAAAACACGTTCTTCTCAAGTGCACAGGAAACATTTCCTAGAGAGACCACATTCTGGACCATAAAACAATTCCCAAGTGCAAAAGGATTCAAGTCACACAGTCTGTTCTCTCATCATAATGGAATTGAAGTGGAAATAACAGAAGGATCGTTGGGAAAATCCCCCCAAATGATTGGAAACTAAAAAGAGCATATTTCTTTTTTTTTTTTTAAAGATTATTTTATTTATTTATTTTTTTTACAGAGATAGAGAAATCACAAGCAGGCAGAGAGGCAGGCAGAGAGAGAGGGGAGGAAGCAGGCTCCCCGTGGAGCAGAGAGCCTGACGCGGGGCTCGATCCCAGGACCCTGGGATCATGACCTGAGCTGAAGGCAGAAGCTTTAACCCACCGAGCCACCCAGGCGCCCCAAAAGAGCATATTTCTGAACAACCCAGAGATCAGAGGAGAAATCAAAATAGAAATCAGAAAATATTTTGAACTAAACGAAGATGAAAACCCAGCATGTCAAAGTTGGTGGAACACCACTGCAGCTCTACTGAAGGGAGATTTCTAGCACTATTAGAGGAGGATAAAGGTCTGGAAACTGTGAACTCAGGTGTCATCTTAAGAAGCTAAACAACAACAACAAATTAAGCCTAAAATCAGCAGAAGAAAGGAAGTGAGAATCCCAGTGGAAATCACTGTGGTAGAAACCAGCAACCACAGTGAAAGGAAGGAAAGGAGGAAGGAAAGAAGGAAGTCAAAAGCTGTTTCTTTGAGAAAATCAGTAAAACTAACAAACTTCTAATGAGTTTGATCAGGAGGGGAAAGAGAGAAGACACAAATTACTGATGCCAAGAAAGGGGAAGATGCCAGAGAGGCCCGTAACTTGACAGTTCTATGGGGAGCTGTAAGCTCATCCCAGCCCCCCACTGGCTGCCCGGGGATAGGGCTGTTGGTGTTTGAGGCCACCGTGAACCTGGGGAGGGCAGGTGGTGTGGGAAAGCCACAGAGCTGGGTGTTCTTGCTGAGTTTCCGCTAACTTTCTCTGATTAGTGACCCCTGGACTGCAGCAAGCCCTTGGTTAACTGTTGAAGCTCTGAAAAGGTTGACTTTGACAGTTTCTGCCAATGAATTTTGTGGTTCTGCTATCAAGACACCTCTTGTCTTTGTAGCCTCGTGTTTGCAGCCCTTCCCTCCAGCCTCCACCAGGATTACCGTGTCCAGGAAACCAGTTCCTGGTAAACATTTCCAGAAGGATCCAAAGACCTAGACCTTGATTCTTTCCCTGAGTGGGGAGCCTGCATTCCTCCGGAGGCTGTGCATTGCGTGCCCCTGACCAGGTGTCCTTCTGCTCCCGCTCTACACTTCCATCCACCCGAAACCCCCTTTCAGAAAAAAGTTTTTATCATACATCACAGAGAGAAAACGGTTCAGGCTAATCACATCTCGTTTGTTTGAGGACAGATAAAAAGTTACTATTTTGTCCTTCTATTTCTTGTCTTTTTTTCTTCACCTTACAGAGACGCTCCAAGGAGCTATTTGTGCTTCATGAATTTCATTAACCATTTAGTCAAGAATGTTTGTACTATAATACCTCTTGACTTAATGTGTGCCATAAATCATGGAAAATAAACAGGTTTGAGAGTTGACCATGATTATAGCACTGGGAGAAAGAATGTTTAAAAATAGAAACTATGGTCCCCATCCTTAGGAAGCATCTAATCTAATTGGGAGAATAACACTAGAATTTGTACCTCTTCCATATCTTGTATCAAGTGTGTTTGCCTCCATTATCAAGAATAACGGAGAGGTCAGAGTAAGGTGTCTTCTCTATTGGATGTGACGGGTGATTCATTCACTCGGTAAATTCCTAGGGCATCAGCGGTGTGCCGGGCATGGCACTAGGCTCTGGGGAGAACAGCCATGACTCAGGAGATGAGTTCTGCTCCCTTTGGGCTAGCAGGCCAGGGAAGAGGTCAGCCAACAGGGGGAGCGAGCAAGTGAGGAACATGACGGCCACCTGTGGGAACTGCTCAAAAGAATACGGAATGCTTTTGAGATTAAGTGGCCTGGGAAGATCTTCCCAAGACAGTAAGAGCTAACCTTGGAGGAAGGGAGTGAGCGAGCGCTGGAGAAGGCTATTAGGGTAAAACGTATTCCCTCAGAATCCAGAGACTCTGAAGAGAGGAGAGCTGCCCCCTTTTGAGAAATAACCCGAAGGCTTGGGTAGGGGGAGGTTGGAGCGAACCTCGAGGGGATTGCTCTGTGCTGAAGGCGGGGCTGCGGGCAGTGGCTACATCATGGAAGCCGTGGCGAGAAGTTTGGTTTCATCCCAAGAGAAAGGGAAGCCTCTGTCAGGTGTAAAGGAATGAGGGACATAGGCTCACCTCGGCTGCTGTGCAGGGAGTACGCGGTAGGGGCGAGGATGGAAGTAGGAAAAAGTGCTCATGCTCACGGTCTCTCGCCCTTATCTCTGCAACTTGAGAGCCAACAGGTTATCCAAATGGCTGTGTGGCCGTCCGTGTGATACACTGGAAGGGTCACAGGATTTGGTGCCAGAAGTGCCTGCATTTGAATCCTGACTCTTCCGTCTCACTAGCTGTGTGAGTGTGGGCAAGTGGTCTAACTTCTCTAAGCTTCTGTTTAGTCTTTTGTAAAATGGGGAGGAAGACTTTAGACTTTAGGGCCGCAGTAGGGGATATGTTTGGTGACGTGTAGGGAGTACGTACACGAACGTTCTCTTTCCTTGTCCTGATATGGAGCTTTGTTGGAAAACAAAGTGGAGGTGCCCACTTCCTGCACTGAGCCTCCTGACACCCCCTAAACACAGTGGGGTGTAGACAGTGTGCTCCGATCTGGTGCTGATTGGCGTGGGCGAATAGAGCAGTCCCTAACGCCACTGACATCATCGTTCCATTCCTAGCACGGACTTGACTTTGGTAAAGGCCACTGTTTCCATTTGGTAGCAGCCGAGCCGCCAGTTCCCTCGTTTTCACGCTCTAGGGTCCGTCCACCTCGCTGATAGCCTTTAGGAGTGCTGGGCTTGACGTCAGACAGACCTGGAGTCAAGTTCTAGTTCTGTGAAGAGCCCGCTGTGCAACCTTGAGCAAGGGCCTCTCCCCTCAGCTTCTTTATCTGTGCCATGAGGACAGGGATCATCCTCAGGAGGTTGTGGTAGGGACTGTAGCGGAGCCCTGACTCGAGTGCCTCTGACCTCACAGGTATCCCGTGATTCAGATCATGCACGTGAGGGGACTAGCTTGGTGCCTGGCACGTGGCACTCACCACAGCACAGGAGAGCTTCTGTTGTCATTCCGACTACAGTTGTTGCTGGTCTGCAGTGAGGATACATTCTTCCAGCTGCTGCTGAAACAGAGGAAAATGGCAGGGGTCCTTTCTGAGTGTCCTACCAAGGAGGGGACTCCATTCAACGAGAACAGAGAGCTGAGAGCTGAGCCGTTGTCCCTTCTTGTTTTGTCTTTTTCCTGGGCCAGGTGGACAATCAGCTCATTGGTACCACTCAGCCCTTCATGCTCTACGTGACTCCCCTGAGCAATGAGAATGAGGTCATCGAGACCGGCCCGGCCGTGCAGGTGAACGCGGTGAAGTTCCCCAGTAAGAGCGCGCTGACCAACATCTACAAGGTAGGCCGCTGGGGGAGGCTGCTGGGCTTGGTGCGGTGGCAGGAGCTGATCTGTTCTCTTGAGGCCGAGTCTCCGAGTGCGGGGTGTGGCCAGAAGTCATCCTTCACAGTAAGGCAGTCTGACTTACTCCATGGGGTAGGGGGCTCACAGCAACTCCTCGTAGCACCCAGCGTTCTCGACTGTGGCTTTGCACATGATAACGTGGAATCCCCAGGGCCCAGAGTCTGTATTCATCAGAGTCGAGTCTCTGTGGGAAAACATAGCATCTTCCAGGTTGATCAGGACCAGGTGTGACCCAGATGTGTTATTAGAATAATTAGTGGTAGGAGGGGTCTGACCTTGGGACAGACGTCCTCTTGTGTAAGCTGACTTACACTGACTACTAAAAGCACATCGTTCGACAGTGATGAGCTTTCTTCCCTGGAGAAGTTTCCACCTATAAGTGGGCTGATACAGCAGCAAACTCTGGAAAAGTGGGAGCTAAGAGGTTGCTTCCCCTATTTCTGCCCTTCGTCACCATTATCAGTGGGCCTGCGTGCAGCCCTCCAGTCCTGCCGCTCCTTCAACGAGCTGCTGTCCACGTGAGCTCAGCACCAGAATGCTGTCCCCCGGAGCACATCTGCAAGCGGGATCCTGACTAAGGAGACACAGATGCCCCGGAAACCAAACAAGAGGGCGGTGAATTGTATATTAAACCTCTTCTGGAATTCTTGGCTAATTGTAACAACGTAGAGAGAGATGAGCCAGAAATCATTTGGCAGTGCGGTTACAAAATCACATGAGTAAAGGAACTGTGCCACGTCATTTGGGGGCCCTCTTCATGGCCCAGATGGAAGTTCCTTCTGGTGTTTACACTGTTAATCTGAATCTCTCCGTCTCTAGCATCTGATGATCACGGCTCAGAGATTCACGGTGCAAATTGAAGAGAAACTGCTCCTCAAGCTGCTGAGTTTTTTTGGCTACGATCAAGCAGAATCAGGTACTGTTGAATATTCTAGATTTGTGTCTGGGCAGTGACCCACGAATGGCCTTTCCTAGTCTACTTGTGAAAATAGGCGGCTTCTGAGTACCCGACAAACGCCCTTCCCACCTCGCAGCCGGAGCCCAGAAGCTGAGGCTTGCGTCTCAGCGGCTTTTTTCCAAACAGCCTGTGGACGGGGGCTGCGGAGGGTGCGGATGCGGGCATGAGGGAAGCTTCTTAGAGGTGTCTTGGGGTCCCCAGGGTTCAGCCTTTGGGAAGCAGCACACTTTTCCTCTTCATTGTACATTTGTTGACTCATCTGCTTGAGGATAACAGAAATGTTGTTCCTCATTTAGCAAACCACTTTGTTTCCTAACCTTTGTTTAGTAAACAGACTGGGGACCAAGAATCAGAAATCCCTTCGGCAGTTCCTTTGGCTTAGTTAAGGGAAAAAAAAAATTGACTAGCCTTAACTTCTTAACTTTTTACATCCATGCCCTTATGCCTTAATGTCATTACCAAGTTTTCTAGTTACTTGACTCTTCTTTAGAGACGGGAGTGAGAGAAGCTGTTGGAAACCCTACATGTCCCAGCATTCACTACAGAAATCATACAGCTTTTGTCTCTTTATTTTCGATTCCTCCTCATGGCCTTTGTAAGACTGAATATAGAACTTAGAAAGAAGTCGGCAATGCTTAGTCTTTTGAAGACTAAACCGAATATCGAAACTGAGAAGTGACAAGATAGACTTGAATGTTTATATGCCCACGTTGGCGAGAGAAATAATCCACTGGGGACATGTGTGCATATGTACATACTTAGACACAACATAAGGAAAATGTTTTTGCTCTTTAGCCCAGACTTAACTATTCAAACTTTAAGTGTATTTGGGATCAGGAGCAAGGTTCTGTCGGTTTAAAACTGTGTTTTCCACTCTGGGTGTGTGTTTGGACTCAGACAGCCACTCGAGACCCTGCCTGCAGGTGGCCAGGCTCTTTTGGCACCTTCCTGGGAAGGTGCTTTCACTTTTACCGGACGTGCTTTTCTCATAAGTTGCTCTAAATAAATTTCTCACCAAGCATCGTGTAGACGTTTATAAAATCCTGGCCTTTGTTTCACTGGGGCGTCTCTCCCACGCTCCCTGTGTAGGTTCCCTGACTACAAATGGGCAGGTCTCTCTTGCAGCGTGTTTTTCTCAAACCTCGTCCCTTGTTTTCTCTAGAGAACCGTAAGCGCGCACAGCATGCGTTTGTGACAGGCGGATCGGTGCAGTGTCCTTGGTTGTATTTCTAAGGCCCGTGAAGCCAAGTGACAGGAAGCCGACCGCGTGGCTGTGGGCACGGGAGCAAGGCAGAGAGCGCGTTGCTGTGTGCCAGCCACGTCGCTCCTTCTCACTACACGAGACGTAGAAACAAAAGTCTGCCTCGACTCCGCTGCTTTCACGAACGTCCGTCATTCGGGAGAGAGGGTGCCTGCTGCCGTGGCGCCAGCTCGTTATGGTCTGCGCCGGTTTCTTTTTGAAGGCGTTCTCTTGCACTCAGGCGCCTGATTCACCCGGTGATGCCGCTCATCGTAGTTCGGTTAAACTCTACTCCGAGGGATGCTATTTAGATATCATCTCATGAAATAAATGCAGATAACTGGGGTCATTTATGATAATCATACTAAGAACAACACGGTTTCTAGAAGACTCATTGCCAGCACACACCCGTGGCCTCTGGCTTCCCCACCTGCATGATTTTTTCCAAAGATGATGTCTGCCAGATGGTATGGAGTCACAAAAGATCAGGCTATTGTACTTTCTTGGTAAACAAGAGGAAGCACATCTGCTTTTACCAAGAAGTGGCATCAGGATACTGTACCTAGCACCAAACCCTGAAAAACTAAATTTGGAGACATGTTGACATTTTTGTATGATTACTTTTAGCGTTAGCATTTGATGTGTGAGACTTCAGGAGTTTTTTGTTTGTTTGTTTGTTTGTTTTAATTTCACTATTTTACTCTTGTACCAGAGGTGGAAAAGTATGATGAAAACCTCCACGATAAGACGGCTGAGCAGGGTGGAACACCAATTCGGTACTACTTCGAAAACCTCAAAATCAGCATTCCCCAGATCAAGCTGAGTGTGTTCACCTCCAACAAGCTACCGCTGGATCTCAAGGTGAGCGGATATCCGGGTAAGAGTTAAACAGTGGCTTTCCCTGGAAAAGAATGAGTATGTTTCCTGTTTGCTTTTTCTGTCCAGGATCATCTTCAATAGCAGATATTTTTACAGGTTTCCCTTTTAGAAGGTTCAAAATATGTACACACACACGTACATGTGTATACATATGTGTGTACATACAGACATATGTGTAGATGTACATGCACTTTTTAAAATACTTAAGTAAGAGCAAACAGAATTACATAAAATCCATCTTCTTAGCTCTTGGCTTGTCTCAATGAGGTCAGAGCCTACTTTCCTAGGGCCGCTCGCAGATTCAGGAGAAAAGTTACAAGCAAGACAGTACCTGCCTTTTGTGCCCAAGACCTGCCTGCCCACCTGGTTCTCTCCACCTCTGCGTGAATGGCTGATACCAGAAATGTCCACTACCGTCAAGGAGCACACTCGGCCCCATACCGCTGAGACGTGGCCTCCCTCACCACCATCTCAGAATGTGACACGCCTGAAGACCATCCTGACCTGCCCTTGACAGGGAGGGCCTGGATTCCATCTTCATCTGCCGCAGGAAGATCCATTTTAACGAAGGGTTGGGGCTGGGATTCACATCCAAGCCTGCGTGACTCGGAAGCCTGTACCATGCTGCACTGTACCATATACTGTCGTTCCCCCCCCCCCCGCCCCCTGCGAACATAAGGCATCAGAGCACTTTAAAGCTGTGAGAGTCCTTGGTGAGCAAGGATGTTGGAGTTCAGAGAGTTCTTTCACTCAGGCCTTGTGGGTCGGCCGTGATGGGAGCAGGAGGATGCCCCAGGTGCTTGTTAGAAAGTCTTTTCTTAGACGGAGGCTAAATCTGCCTCACTGCCGCTCGGACTCATCGCTTCTGGTTCTTTTCGTTTATTGCCCTTGAAGACGGTTGTCAAGGCACCTGCTCCCCCCGCCTCCCACCCGCAACCACCAGCCGAGGATGCGGCCACTGCCCCATGCGGCCTCCTTTCAGATGCTGTGTGATGGTCTCTCTTCTGAGCAGGAACAGCTACAGACCTGAACGGACAAATAATACACCAGGCGTCCTCCGTTCAGCTGCCTGCCGGGACTGTCTAGCCGTGCGCCGTGTGACGCAGCGCGGTGGGGACCGTGGCGTGTGGAGCGGGTGCCCTTCATCTGAAGGGGCCGCCTCGACTCAGCTCCGGCCAGTTGCTGTCACAGGGCAACGTGAACCCAGTGTGGCCGGATCTCCAGATTTTTAAAGCGAAGCCAGAAATCTGGGTTTTTATGTGGAATCTCCTGGTTTTGAAATGTTGGCAACCAGTTTGAGTTCTTTTCTTTAAAAACCTTTTGGGCTTGACAAAACACATGTGTGGGCCTCATGTGGTGCCTGGTTTGCCAACTCACAACTTCTAAAGCAGACCTGTAGGTAACGAGACAGTGGTCTGGTCATCAGCAGATCATACTTGGATAAGGATGGGGCAAGGGTGGCCGCTTCATTTCCGTGGCAAGCTGGGGATGCTGGTTGGGACCAGAGGGGCAGGAGTTGCTTTGCAACCATCCTGAGAACAGCGTTGCGTGCCCTTTCCAGCGGACTCTCCTGTCTGCTTGATTGGCTTTAATTTCATGTTTCCCAGGAGACTAAAGATACTTATAATTAGCCTGGGAGTGGGGGGAAAACCATGGGAAAACCACTATCTTGTTAATATCCACAAGTATCCACTTGACTTATGTGACCCCTTGGAATGGGTTTGTTTGATAAAGTATATATTCCCCCAGAACACTTGGCATGCGCCCAACAAACCAATGTTAAGCATTTCCTGAGAGTTAAGGACTTCTTGTTTTTTAAATCATCTTACTTAGAAACACAGACACCTAACGGTTCCTTTCAGATCATTCCCAGCAAAACACTTTCCCCCAGTCTGACAAATGCAATAGGGTTTCCTACAGCTGAAGTAGGTCCAGACCTCCGGGGACAGGGTACCAGTGCGTGCGTGATGCAGTGCGAACGGTACACGGGCGATCCGTTAAGGCCATTGTTCCATTTGTCACCGTACTGAAGGAACATTTTGAAGGCCTTTTCAGATGATTGTTCCAGAAATCCAGTGGAGCAGCTGTGTCATGAGCTGGGTGGCTGGGGGTGGGGGGGCATCCTGAATGGGGCACATTACTGTTTCAGGCAGGGTGCTGGGAATTGGGACTTCAGAGTTAAATTCTCAGCTTGTGGAAGTCACCGTTTCACTGTGTCTCGAGTTCTCCTCGTGGAGTCTGGGACTCATAAAATAATGTCATTTATTCAAAGAGTTTCCTAACAGAGTAATATCCCTTTATTAGCAGCTCTTAGAAAGAGCCGTGTGCTCTTTGAGATGACTGTGTAATGGCTCAAAGTATGTGCTTAGGGAATGGAGTGCTGTCCCAGAGCAGGAATCACAAGAGTCTGACTAAAAGGTAACCGTGTCTTTGGTATTGAAGGAATAATTATCTTGATTCTCTTGACTCCAGGCCAGAAGTGAGGCTGTCCGACATCTCAGAGGGAAGTCTCTTCACGTTTACATGGAGGGCACATTATTGCCAGATACAGTGTCTGTTCAGAAGGACTGAGAGCACTTTCCCATCTGCTATCTCGATTGGATTCCTTCCTCTGTGATGGGAGAAGGGGGAGATAATAGCTCCATTTCACAAATGCAGACACATCCCTCCCCTCCCCCCTTCTTCTCCATTATTCTCCCCAGCCTGCACTACTAGGGAGTAGCAGGGTAAGATGGAAAAACCAGGTAGTTTGTATGTACTTGGGTTTTTTTTTTTTTTTAAAGATCAAAAGAAGCCAGGAGCCTTTCAGAGGTTTCACGAGGTGGCCTACAGCAGTCCTTTTCCCATTTAGAGCATTGGGGTATTACAAAAGAAGAGCTTTAATTGAGCAATCTAGTTTGGAAGAAAACCCACATTTTAATGGTCAGAGAGCAAGAGGGTGGGGTGAGGGGGAATTTCAAACAAAGACACTATTTAAAAAGCCTAAAACTGTCTTCTCAAAGGCTTGAAATAATTTGTTGGGAAACTTCAGACCCTTTACTTTTTTCCTCCCCTCCCTAAATAAAAACCAGATTTGTTAAAAGGAAAAAAGATCCAGTATTGTTAATTGTATTTCAGAAAGTGCCAGAGAGGGAACTATGCCTGTAGTTTTAAACATTGTCCCAGGAGGGAAATGGGCAAATACCCTGCTTCACATAAACAGTCTCTATGTACCATAAATAAACCTTTAAAGAATGAATTCCAGACAGTTTTGTTTAGTGCAGGATAAACTCAGAAAGGAAAAGACGTGGCCCAGGGACTGGCTTGTGATCCGAGACCTTATGGCATATGGACAGGTATCTCTTCTTTCAACTCCATAAAGTTTCTGGAAGACTTCAGCAGTTTTCGTCTGGAGGAGGTAGGAATAGACAGTTTCCTAGTTTTATTAGGAACTTCTGAGCCCAGATGGCTTTCTCCAGAATCCGTTTTATAACAGGAAACTGTCTGCTACTTGAGTAAATAAGCATCAATTTTGTATACTACTGTATTCGATTAGTCATTTCGTTACTACAGGAAAAAGCCCTGTTTGGCTCTTTCCCCTCTCATCTGTTTTCCTTTGACTGACCCGAACAACCTGAAGGTGGCAGATTAATTCATACCCAGGGCTGCATCTTGGCTCTTTCTACCGTGGGAGGCCCCAGAGCCATAAATGACAAGGCGGAGATCATTTTTACTGAAGGGCCAGCGTATCTCCGGGGTTCAGACAAAGCACAGAAGCCATTCAGAAAGGGGTCGGAGTCTCTCGTGAGGGTCTGGACAATTTGGTAAAGGTTGTAGAGTCTCTGCTCCTATGTTTGGTTCCTCTTCTTCAGTATTTGGTTGCAATGAGGAAGTTGGGGAGCAAAAAAGCTTTTGCCTTAAGCCTTTGTTTGGATCTCATTTCCTCTTCTCTGAGAAGACAGTAATGCTCAGAGGTGTATTGGCAAAACAGACTGCTGACCTGATGTCAGTACCTCCCCCAGTGCATTTACTGGGCGGCTCTAAGCAAAGCGGTTAAGCCGGGCTGGGCCTCAGTTTCCCAGTCTGCGCCACATGGATGCGTGAAGCATGTTTGAATGAACAGCAGAAAGCTTTTCAGGAGAAACAATGGAATCCTCCATTCTGGTCTGCATGCTTTCCACCTAATGGGTGGTTCCTGTCATGAAAATGAGCACGTTTGAGTCTAAGATCTCCTAATAACTAACTGCACAAGTTTAGGTCATCCACTTAACATTTCTTTGGTTTTATTTATTTAAAAAAATGAGAGTGTTTGGCTAAATTAGCGTGTTAGGCTGATTAACCTAAGAATGCTCTCAATCTCTAAAATGTTTTGTTCTCAAATTGTTTAGTAGGAGGTTACTGGTGACTTCCCAGGGGCCCAGATATAGGCACCTTTTGTCTGTCCTCTTCTCTGTAGGGTCCTCCACTATAGTCAGCATTGCTGACCTCCCCGTCCCTTTCTGATTCTCCTCTTATTCTTCTGTTTGTTTCTTTGTCTTCTTCACAGTTTTCTTTTTCTCTGCTTCTCCTGACCCATCTATTTAAGGGTTCTTTTTACCTCTGAACCAAACTGGTCGCATCACTTGCCCATTTAAAAAATCATATTAATGGTCTTTTATCACCTGTAATTTTAGAAGCTTTTTATATAAGTTTGGTCTTTGAAATGAGTTGCAAGATTTTTTCCTTTGGTTTTTCAGTTGGCTTTTTTACTTTTGATGTATGTATGTTTTGGGGTTTTTTTAATCACAGGAAAGCTTTTTATTTTTATGTCATCAAAATTACCAGTCTTTTGCCTGTTTGTATTTGAGTCCCCAAAATTTTCCCCAATCTCTGGTTTTTAAAAAATTCCATCTATGTTTTCTTCCCATTACACAATTTCATTTCAGTTAAGGATGCTCTTGTCCCAAAAGAATTTAAGACAGCCTCTGAAAATACACGCTAAAAGATGAAAAATAAGGGAGAAAATAAAAAGTGCATGAAATTGCACATGAGATTTTACCATAAAGGCATTTATGATTCACTGGGGGTTATACAGAGATTTTAGTAAGTGCTATTAGACCAACTAGATACCCATTTGGGAAAATACACAATTAGATTTTTACTTACACACTATACAAGGAAAGATTCTGTGTAGATCAGAGATTTATTAACATTATTTGCATGAAAAATTGTTTTCACATTCAAAGAAGTAAAGTATTTTGCATGCTGTCCAAAAGCCTTGAATTATCAATCTTGTTAAATAAAAATATAATTGGAAAATAGACCATATCCAGAAATTGTTAACTGGCTTATAGTGGAGCCAGACTAGCTGAGAATTGCAAGAAAAGCTCGGTAGAGAAAAACCCTGAAAGTCTGTTTGAAGGTATTGGAAAGTGACCAGGACATCAAGGACCTGACGGTCCAAGATTTGTGTGAGGAAGGAAACTCAATAAACTGAGTCCAAATTTACTCTGCTTTTATTCTTGAGATAATCCTAATCTGTGAATGATATGGGGAGAAAGTCAGAGAAGGTGAGCAGAAAGCAGCTGTCAGGGCAAGAGTCTGAGTAAGGCTTCTGGCAGTCTCCTGGGGTTGGCATAGCAAACATTAGGTACTAAGAGAGCTGGTAATCAAGGGAGGGGCTAATATCTTACAGAGAAAGGACAGACAGAAAAGAGCCCCCAGTGGTCTGAGCTGCTGTATGTCTTGAGGCAGATACCAATTTCTAGGTAACTTCATCTGAGACAGGCCAAGCAGAAAGTGGTGGTCAAGAGGCTGGAAAACAAAGTAGACCTTTTGGCAGTTTTCTGGTGCCGGGGAGATTAAAAGTGGAGGAACTGAATTGGTTGTCAGTTGATATTGCTGACACTACACCAGGCCTTATAAAGAGTAAAGTAGACCAGAGGTTACAAAGACTGAAATCCAGCCTTGAGAAAGCCCAAATCCTGATTACATGAAGCCCTTTAACTGCCTGCTAAAAACTAAAGACTCATCTGAAATCTGTAAAAGTTTTCATAGAAAATGTTAGATTCAGTCACAAATTACCAGACCTACCAAGAGAAGGGACCAAGAATAAAAACAGACACTAGAAGCAGACCCATAGATAAAACAAATATTGACATTATCAAACAGAATTTTAAAGAGTAAATGTGTGTTCAAGAAGTTTACCAGAAAGCTATAATCTATATTTTAAAAATAAATAAGGGAAAATTATAGACCAGAATTGTTTCATGAACATAGAAGAAAGAAATCTGAACAATGTATTAACAAATCAAATATAGCAGTGTATGAGAAGGAAAATATAACTTAATTGGGCTTATTCCAGGAATGTAAGTGTAAGTATTTTCAGATAAGTTACATAATTTACCACATCAACAACATGAAAAGAAGAAAAAATATGATTATCTCAATAGTGGCACAAAAAAAAAAAAAAAAAGAAAGAAAGAAAGAAAGAAAAAAGAAGGGAACTACCTTAATCTGATAAAATGTATCTATAAAAAAGCTACAGCAAACATGCTCAGTGGGAAGGAGCCAGCCCATTATCACCACTTCAGTTCACTGTCATACTGGAGATCCTAGCCAGTGCAATAAGGCTAGAAAGATTACAGAAGAAATAAAGAAAAAGTATAAGAACTGGACAGGAAAATGAAAACTTTGTTATTTGCAGAGAACATGAATGTGTACTTAGAAAATCTAAAAGAATGTGCCGATAAGTTACTATCTGAATGAATAAATATGGTATGAAGCAGAAATCGAGATCCATTTTTTCCCAGGTGGATATCTAATTAACTAAGTAATGTTCACTGAAAGGATCACCCTCTCCCCTATTGCAGTACAGTGTAAACTTTGTCATAAGTTGAGTAACTGAATTTACGACCAGTATAAGCTGGTCACTGGACACAGTGTACAAAAATCAATTGTATTTCTACATTTCAGCAACAATTTTAGAGAAAAGGAAAGTTTGAAGAATGCAATTTACAACAGTGTTAAGAAAACATCAAATATGGTATCATTCTCTATGGCTATGTGATGAACTACTCCAACCCTTAGTGGTTTATTTTTCCACAATTCTGTGGGTTAGCAATTTGGGCTGGAGTCTACTGAATGCTTCTTCTGTTAGACTCACCTGTTTTTATTGATCTGACAATCAACTGAGACTGACTGGTTTACCATGGCCTTACTCACATGTCAAGTGTTAAGTGCTGCTATCAAAAGAACCTTCTTCCACATGGTGTCTCAGCTTCTCCATGTGGTGGAAGTGTCAAAAAGGGCAGAGCAGAAGCTCCAAGGTCCCTCGAGGCTTAGGCACAGCAGTCACACAGTGTTCCTTCTGCTGCATTTTCTTGATTGAAGCAAATTTCAAGGTCAGTACAGATGAAATAGCCTTCACTAATAGTATAAGATGTAAAGAATATATGGCCATTTTTAATCTACTGCAGAAACCTTGGAATAAATCCAGCAAAGGGTGTATATAAGACCTCTGTATGGAAAACAATGTAACATTATTAAGAGAGAAGAGAACTACATAGATAAGGGGACATACCACATTAATACACTGAAAGATTTACTACTGTGAAGTTGTCATTTCTCCTCAAATTGATCCATAGATTCAATGCAATCTTGACGAAAATTCCAACAGTTTTGTGTGTGTGTGTGTGTGTGTGTGTGTGTGTGTGTGTGGCAGATTGACAAGCTGATTCTAAAATGTATTTGGAAATGAAAAAGGCAAAGAATAACTAGGGAAATCCTTAAAAAAAAAAAAAGACCAAAGTTGGAGAGCTTATACTGTTAGATTTCAAAACTCATTACAAAACTATAATAATAAAGAGAGTGTGGTATGGGTAGAAGGCAGAACAAAATGAAACAGAAAAAGGAATCCAGAAACAGTCACGTAAATTCAGTTACTCAACTTATGACAAAAGTTTACACTGTACTGCAATAGGGGAGAGGGTGATCCTTTCAGTGAACATTACTTAGTTAATTAGATATCCACCTGGGAAAAAATGGATCTCGATTTCTGCTTCATACCATATAAAAAATCAAGTCCCAAGTAGATTATAGATTTAAATGTGAAAAGTAAAACAATAAAAATTTTTTAGATTAACACAGGGAGTATCTTTATGACCTTGATATAGATAATAACTTTTTAAGATTTTATTTATTTATTTGACAGTGAGAGAGCGAGAGAGCACAAGTAGGCAGAGCGGCAGGCAGAGGAAGAAGGAGAAACAGGCTCCCCGCCGAGCAGAAAACCCGCTGAGCCGAGAGCTCAATGTGGGACTTCATCCCAGGACTCTGGGATCATTACCAGAGCTGAAGGCAGACACTTAACTGACTGAGCCACCCAGGTGCCCTGATAATAATTTCTTAACCAGGAAATAGAAAGTTCTTTTCCTAAAGAAAAAGATCAATAAGTTGGATTTCATTAAAAAACACTATTTAAAAAGTAATAAGTCACAGAATGGGAAGAGAGAATTGCAATGAATTGCAGTACATCTATTTACCAGAGGACTAGTATACAGGATGGATAAGAAAAATGGTTATGCCTGGGTGGCTTGGTCGGTTAAGCATCTGCCTTTGGCTGAGGTCATGATCCCGGGGTCCTGGGTTCGAATCCCACATTGGGCTCCCTGCTCAGCAGGGAGCTTGGTTCTCCCTTTCCATCTGCCTCTCCCCTTACTGGTGCTCGTTCTTCCTCTCTGTCTCTCTGACAAATAAATAAATAAAATCTTCTGTAAAAAGAAAAGCGCCTACAAAGTAAGTAAAAACCAGACAACCCGCTACAAAAATAAGCCAAAGACTTGAGTAGGCACTTCACAGAAAGGGAGCTCCAAACAGCCAATATATGTATGACAAGGTGCTTGATCTTGCGCTTCACCGGGAAGATGGAAATTAAAACCACACTGAGATGCCATTACACACCCATCAGAATGTTTGGCTTTTAAAAGGCTTTCTGTACTGAGTGTTGATGAGGATGTAGAACCACAGGAAATTTCATAGATTGCCGAAGGGACTGCGAACCAGTTCAGCCGCTGCTGATGCCTGCTGGGCAGTACTGTGTGTTGTAGGGTTGGACTTGTATGTTCTTCGTGACACAGCAGCTCTACTCCCAGGCACATATTCAAGAAAAGTGCATACATGTCCGTGAATGTTCATCGCAGCATTACTCATAATAGCCAAAAGCTTGAAACAGCACCACTGTTTATCAACAACAATGGCTTAATAAATTGCATTTTATTTGTATATTGGAATACAAACAATGAAATTTCGGCAACTGGAGCTCTCTATAACACCCAAAGTACATACTGATGGTGCCCTTTGTGTAACATTCAAAGCAGGGAAAACTAACCTATGGTGGTAGAACTCAGGATAGTGGTTGCCCTAGGGGAAGAGGGAGTAGTGACCAGGAGGCCACAGCTGGGGAGGGGGCTGCTTCCAAGATGGGAATAATAATTTACTCTCTGGTCTCCCGGGTGGTAGTTACATGTTTGTTGTGCTCACTTTGGGGGAAAAAAATCATTGAACTGTACATTTGGTTAGTGTACCTTTCTATATGTGTGATAACTTCAGTCAAAAAAGGAAAACTCAACACAAAAGACCAGAAAGAATTATGCTGTGAAGCTAGAAGTGTTTATTTCTATGTGATCTGTGTTACTTTGAGTGACATGTATATTTTTTATGCATATTTTGCTTTTGTAATTATAGGGAACATCCTTATTTATAAATATCAAAACATTGACTCTCATTGGAAAATTGATAGGACTTGTAACTTTCATGGAATCCAAAATTATGGGACCCTGGAAGGCCATCAAATGTCATTTCCTTTCTTCCCTAACTAGGCCCTAAAAAGTACCTTGGGATTTCCACTGATTCGGTTTGAGGATGCCGTGATTAATCTGGATCCATTCACTCGGGTACATCCCTATGAGACCAAGGAGTTCATCATCAATGATATCCTCAAACACTTCCAGGAGGTGAGCTTTGGAAAAATACTTAGTGGCTGGAGCATAAGCAGAATGTTTATTTTGGTGGTTTGGGAATTTTGGTTACTAAGGCATTACTACTAAGAGCCCAGTTAAACATTTGCTGTGTTAGGGGTCAGGTCACAGCCCATGAAGCCCGTACACATTCCGAAAATCCTGAAACAGTGTATTTGATTTATGAGCTGTTCATCTTGTCCCTCACAGAGCTAGTCTCAGGGGCTTCCACCAGATTAGTCACAAGTCTTAAGGGTTCAACTGATGCTTTAATGATAACACAAAATACTCTGACCTCTCTATTGACTGGGCATGGGCCTACTTTGAACAACCCCCTCAGTGTTCTTGGAGCCTATGAGATCTTGCCCTAGAGTTGAACTTCCAAATTTTCTTATCAAGTTGGACATTTTCCATTTTGTATTTATTATCCAGACTCTTTGATAAAGAGATAAGTCAAGATCATATCAAATAGATTAACTGTCAAAGTTAAAATATATTCTATTCCTGCTTCCTTTTCTCACCCCTCCCTCCCACCTCCCTCCTTTCCTTCTTTGCTCCCTTCCTCAACTTTCTTAATTGGTGGTATTTCCATTAAACTGAGGACAGTGACGTAGCAGATAGCCCTGGAATCAGTGGAGGGTTGCTCGTGCCCTCATTATGCACCGTCCCCTCTGCCGATTAACGAGGGGAACTACGACTCCACTCTCTTCCCTCATTTTCCTTCTAGAACTCTCCTCCTGCTGCTGAGTTCCCTATTTGTAGGAACAATGGGGAGTGTGATGTATATGCTAATAATATTTGTAAAGGGTCTTTCCTGTTTATTCTTTCCTGTTTATTCTTTGGAATGGCTTTGAGGCGCATTTCTGAGTACTGAGAGTAGTCTCTGGGTGCATGCATGGGGGAGAGCTTGGGTGGAGCTCATGGAAGGTTAGGAGCTGGCAGTTGATGAGAATTAAGAGGTCGTTGTGGGTGTTGATGCAAATGAATGAGACAGATGTCTCGCCTTTTTGCTCGGGACATTCTGCCCGCAAGCATCAGCAGGTGCTGTTTTCATCTCCTCTGTCTGCCCCATTTCACAGGAACTCCTCAGCCAGGCAGCTCGGATCTTGGGATCCGTGGACTTTCTCGGCAATCCCATGGGGCTGTTGAATGATGTTTCTGAAGGGGTTACTGGACTAATAAAATACGGAAATGTCGGGGGCCTCATCAGAAATGTCACACACGGCGTATCAAACTCTGCCGCCAAGGTAAGGAAAGAAAGGTGAAATCCATTGTCGTTGATCTCAAGAGTGTTCCACGTCCCCGAGATTCTGTCGTAGCCATGAGGCTGTGAGGAGTTACACGAGTGGGCTTGGCTTCATTACCCACCCGCCGCTCTGTGCACCTGGCGTCAGGTCCTCTGAGGCCCCCATGGTTATGTCATCTTCCTTGTGTCCTCCACTGCCGCCTCTTCCCAGGCTTCAGTTGTCCCCTCCCTGGGTCACTGCACTAGCCGCCCCCCCCAACCCACTGGACTCCATGGCGGCCAGCACGCTGCCGCTAGAGTGAACTCACTTTGTATAAACCTAGGATTTGGCTGTGCTCTTCTCCTGCCTAAAATCTACCAGTTCTTTCCCACAGCTTACAGGAGAGAGCCCAAACTGAAAATAGGCTTCTAGAGCAGCGGAAGGAAGGACAGTGGTGTAATTCTCTCGGGTCCTGCTGTCTGGTTGGCTTTTTTGTTCATTGGCCTCTTGTTCAGCGGACATCTTGTTATTCCGCAATTTATTTCTTGGCAGGAGCTCACTGTGTGAAGCTGGGAAAGGCGAAGGTAATTGGAGGGGAGCTGTTGCTATCTGACAGCATGCGGAAGGCCTCTCCTTCCCTCCGCTCCGTGTCAGGTCCACAGACTTGCCTCCTAGAGATTGGCCTTCTCGAGAAGGAAACGCTTTGAGAAAGCAGTTGTGCTCTCTGCATCTTTTTGGGCCCGTGTGGCAGGGACGAGCTTGTGCACCTGCGCCGTGGGCCGTGCGGCGAGCAGCCGGCTCCAGCGAACAGAGGGTTTAATGGTGCCACGCAGGGGGTCGTTGTGAAGGGCCGGTGAGAACATGGGTTGGGCGGCACGTCTGTACTGCTTGGCGATCCTGGTAATGGCATGTGAAAGCTGGGGACTTACTTCTGTCTCCCAGACTTTTCTACAGGGGATAGTTCTTCAGTCAAGTCAGGTAACATTCAGCAGTGTGCTGTTTGGCTTGTGGTTCAAAACAGGCAGCAGAGAGGCAGGCGAGACTTTCTGAGTCATGGTTGTGCAACAGACTCGACTTCAGAGTCTGAGTGAGCGCGCACGCTTTGGCCTCGAATCACGGCTCATGCAGACCTGGGACCTTCACCCCGACGGCCACAAAAAGCGTCAAGCGGTGGCCCAGGTTGCCCTGGGTCCTTTCAAGCTCCTCAACTTGGTATAAACAAGGGCACTTAAATATTCAGTTGTAAATGCCCAGCTGCGACGTTTTATTGAATTTGATGAAATGCTTATTAACATAGAGAAGCCTCCTCGGTTTTATAATTACTTTCTTGGTTTTTGTACCCGTGGGCTTTGCTTTTGGGGGAAGAAATGCACTTACGGTTTACTGAGAGACCCTCTTCAACGTGGAATTGAAATGCACCGCCCTCACACGCTCATTGTAAGGATAAAATGAGATAGCCTGTCCTGAAAATGAAAAATAGAGGCTGGACAAGAGAAACAGGTTGTCACTCTGACTCTTAGACACTCAGACGTTAGCCACCAGGGAACCTTCAGTGCCCCTGAAATGAAAGCCTCCATGTTCAGTCTACGGAGGAGGCAGGTGTCAGGCACGGAGTGTGGGAGAATCAAACTCCCTCTGGGCCAGTTTGGCTGTTAGGGACCCTCTGTTGTTGTTAACCTTTTTGATGAGAATGAAGAAGTTGGAAACATGCCTGTGGCCTCTGCCCAGGTGAGACCTTGTGCAGGTTTCTCTGTAACATCCTGGTGGAAAGGGTTGGCCCTTTCTTTATTTTCCCTCATTCATGGAAGTCTCATGTATTTCTTGGTTCTTCTGCTTCCCCTGGAAAAATGGTTTTTGAAGCCTGAGGGTCCACACAAAAAGAAAACTTACATAGAAAAAGAGCAGAATGCTCCTTATGCCAAGCCTCACTCCAAAGGAGTGAGGCTTGGCATAAGGTCAATCTCTATTGAAGGTCTGGGTGACCCTGATCAGGCATTTTATTGGATATCTGGCTTTATATTGTCATTGGATTTGTTGGGACGCCTGGGTGGCTCAGTCAGTTAAGCCGCTGCCTTCAGCTCAGGTAATGATCCCACGGTCCTGGGATCGAGTCCTGCATCCGACTCCTTACTCAGGAGGAGCCTGCTTCTCTCTCTGCCTCTGCCTGCCACTTTGCCTGCTTGTGCTCTCTCTCTCGCTGACAAATAAATAAATAAAATCTCTATTGTCATTGGATTTGCACAGGGGACCGCATTCCAGGGTCCAGGGCCTCTTGAATGGGAACCATGGTCTCTGTGTGGTTGGGGTCCTTCTTCATGTAATTCTTTTGCCTCTAGTAAGCTAATCAGTGTTGGCATCAGACGGTGCTAGTCAGAGAAATTGCTGTGTAAATTTATTTGGATACCAAGAACCCTGGGTGTGTTAAAAAAAAAAAAAAATTAGTCCATATATCTAAGATGAGAAAGCAAGGAAACTGAACATTACCATTTCTTGTTGGAAATGGTAGCTCCAGAAGCCAGGTCTGTCAACTAAATACCCACTCAGGTCACCTGTGATTCTGTATGTTTGTAGTTTGGCTGAAGATCTCCATTTTCTTGAAGTTTTGTGGGTTGAAAGCCATCAGACCTTTAGTTTTGCTTTGGGGGCATGTTTTGTTTGCTTTTGGGCTTACACGAGAGGAGTTGAAGGAAGTGCAAATGACCACAATAATCAACTGGTGGCCTGTGGGAAGCATTTCTTTAACAAGTGCCTGGGTTCTCATGATTAAAGGAAGGGGCCAGAAGACAAAACTGCATCTCCCCAACCAAGCCCACCAGCCAGCCCCACTGGGCTGCAAAGACCAAAGGGCTTTAGCCTTGGTTCATCACGCTCCGAGTGGAGTGGAGAAGCTCCATAAACCTCTTGAAAATAATTAGAAATATTGTGTATCTGTGTATTTTCCTGGAACAAGAATCTCCAGTTTTTATTGGCTTATCAGAAAGGATTTCCACTTCCTGAGATCATCCAGCACTTTTGCAGACATAGGCTTGTGCGTTGAGGGGGAGTGTAGGGCTGGCCGTTAGGGATACCTGGGTTCTAACCCTATGCCTGCCTTTAAATAATCTTTTTTTTCTGTTAATCTTGAGCGGGGTGTGTGTGTGTGTGTGTGTGTGTGTGTGTTTTAACCTATGAAAAGAGGATGTTAATCTCCTCCTCCCACCCCGCCGGGGTCCCATTGACCTGAAGAACAAAAGAGATAAGGTATGTGAAAACCCAGTGAGAAGTTAAAAGGGAATTTATTCAGCCTCCTAAGAAGGTAAAGGATCTGCAGGTCTTCCTTGTCTCTGGATAGATGGTTTGAATTATTCACAGCAGATTTTTTATTTCAGGTCCATCATATCCACTTCTGGAATTCTTTGTTACAGTTTTAACTGTTATTTAATTTATTTAATATTCGCCTCAAAGAAATAGGACTGGAAAATAGTCTGTGCCCTTTGTCCCCTTTATTTCTCTAAGCCCTTTCTTCTCATTGTCCAACCCCCAGAAATCTGCTTATGGATTCCAAATCTAAGGCGATATGACTTAGGGATTGGCCACCAAGCTGTGAGCCTCTGTCCTGTGACTCCCTTGCCTAGATCTTGGCAAAAGGACTCTAAGCCTTCGAGTAGAACCTCAAAGATCTGATCCCCTTCCAAAGGCCATGACGAGACGATTGCTGCCAGACTCCTTTCCAGGAATAGGATTTATTTAAGAAAAGCATAGCATTTCAAATTCCAGAAACATGTTGGAGGAACAGGTTTCTTTCTGTGGCATGAACTCCAAAGAGCATCCTTTGGCCTCGTCAGGTGTCACATGAGTATCTGTAAGACCATCTCTTTCAAAGCCAAAGAATGGAGGAGAGGCCCATTGCCTCAATTCCCTCTCTTCTGTGGATTCTAATTTTCTTCTGTCTGTGATTATTGTGTAATATTTTCATATACTTACAGAAAAATTTCATGATTATTCTAAAACAAAAAAAGGGTTTGTTTTTCTTTTTGTTTTCAGGGAATTTCAGATGTCAACCATAGAACAAATGATTCCGTTCTCTTCCCTAGCCCTGTAGAAGCTCAGTGTTTGCTCGGAATAGCTGCTGTTTGGTCTTCCCTCAGGAAGCCCAGAGCTCCGTGATTTCTTCCAGCAAAGAGCAGGAGCACTTCTGATCGTCACTAAGGGAACCCCTGCTCTGTTCTGTCTCGCTTTCCATCCCTGCACTTGCGTCTTTTATCAAGGCAGTGTGGGATACTTTGGATCATGGGTACCTTTTTGATCTCAGGCATCTTTTGACTTAGGTTTACAAATTCAAGTATCTTACTAACTTTCTCTTTTTGACTGTATTTTCATCAAAATCATTAGATACTAGAATTCATGGTTCGGTATTCACCGTGTGTTAATTTTGCTGGTGACCTTTGCGTTTGTGTGGTGGGCTCATTTCTTTCTCTATTGCTTTATGGCATTTGTTTCTACCCAGCCCAGATTTCCCAGCTCAAATCCTGCAGATCTAAATTTTTGCCAAGGAGTTGGGGGTTTTCTGTTGGGTTTTGGTTAATACATCTTATTCTGTGTCATTTTCATCATTGTTTTATTGTTTTAAATCAGGTCAGTTTGTTACAAATTAGATAAAGACCTAACAGTTTTACATTGTTCCTTGGTGCAAACAGCATTAGTGGGGAAAACGATGGAGAAACAAGGTTGAAACACCCTGCTTCGTTATGGAACCCATACTAATTTATTAACATTCATTGACCGCCTTCTATTTGTCAGGCCTGAGATAGAACCCACAAATATGTACGTTAACCATTGTCCTTCAAATCAGGACACAGAATCTTAGAGAGTTTCGTAATTTTTTCAAGGTCACACAACTAGAAATGACAGGGATGGATTTGGAACCAAGTTTAGCTAAATCTAAAGGCCTTGTGTTTTTTCCCTATAAGATGTTTTTCCTTGGTGTCTGTGAGGCTTTTTTTCAAGCACTGTAGAGAATATAAAGAATGAGTTACTGCTGA